TTTTTTTTTTTTTTTTTTTGAGACAGAGTCTCACTTTGTCACCCTCAGTAGAATGTCCTGGCTTCGCAGCTTACAATGACCTCAAACTCTTGGGCTCAAATGATTCTTTTGCTTCAGCCTCCCAAGTAGCTGAGACTACAAGTACCTCCCACAATGCTTGGCTATTTTTAGAGATGAGGTCTTGCTGTCTTGCTCTGGCTCAGGCTGATGGCAATCTACCTACCTCGGCCCCTCAGGGTGCTAAGATTACAGTTGTGAGCCACAGTGCCCAGCCATAATTTTTGTTTTGTTATTGTTTTCTTTAAACAGCAAATCTAAGTTCTACAAGGGAGTACAATAAGGAATTTGGCTTTGAGAACTTTTTTCTTTTAAACATTAAGAAAACCCTTTTTTTTTTTTGAGACAATCTCACTGAATCTTACTCCTTGGCTAGAGTGAAATGGCACAATCATAGCTCACTGTAGCCTTGATCTCCTGGGCTCAATTGATCCTACTGCCTCAGCTGGGACTACAAGTGCAAGTCACCACACCCAGCTAGTTTTTAAATTTTTTGTAGAGATGGGGTGTCTCTATGTTGTCCAGGCTGGTTTCAAACTCCTCCTGCCTTGACCTCCCAAAGTGTTAGAATTACAGGCATGAGGCGCTACACCTGACTGAAAAGTCTACATCAAAACAGATAACCAGAGTAATACTTAGAAGGACATGAGTTTTGCCTGTGAGCATCTGTAGCATTTATTGTTTCTCTTGACTCTGGTTGCTATGTAACTTGCTTCTCCCGGAGCAAACCCCACTCACAGCAGTGATCTGCATGATAGCAGCAGTATCTCCAAGCTCTTCTTTTAATTGTTCATATGATTTTCCTGCCTAAGAAGAGAAAGGAAACACAGGATGAGGTACTTCTTATAGGGAGGACATCTTAGGTCTGGTCTCTATCTTTAGAAAAAGCAAAAGAGCTAGGGAATCAGAAGACACTTCAAGGGTTAGTAAAAATGAAAACTCCTTCTGATCCCTGCAGGGTTGAAAAGGGTACTCGAACATGATACACATTTCTTTGGTGGTGCCCCTTCAAGAGCAGTTGAATAGGAGTCAGAAAACTTGGCTCTTTCCTATTGGTTAACTGGGACTTTGGACAAATAACTTACCTCTTAGCTTCCTCATCTATAAAATGGGAAACATAATATTTGCACTAGCCATTGGGATAGTGGTAAAGGTCAAAAGGATGATATTTATGGATACACTTTACAAACTATGTATTCACGTTGCTTGTTGCTGAGACAAGCTGTGGAGTATCTAACTGGACTTACTGCTGAGGCAGGTGAAAAAGGAAAGAAAAATAAAAAGGGAGTGGAGTGAGGGCGGGGAAACGAGGTCCTGGTTCCACATGGCCCTTGAATATGCACCCTACTGTCCCACTGAATTCTTAGTTCTCAGCTAAGGATATTGTCTCCAGTCTCTGTGTTCTTACGCTCCATATGTGAGGATCCCAGGCTAGGAACCAGCCCGTGAAGATGGGAGGCTCAAACCCCTGTTTAATGATCAGGATTGGTGTGTCCATGTCTCGGCCGCTGGGGTGAGTGTGCAGGTACTCCTGGGCTGTGGCAAGAGCCCGCTCCTTCTCTGTGGCGTTGGCCTCTGCCCCAATCCACAAGAACACCTGTTGTGGTAGAAATTTAATATTCATTAATGTATTCATCCAAGGATACGTACTAGATCATACGTACTACCCTATCTTTCCTCTTTGTTTTATGTATAATTCACAGCCTCTGAAAACCTCAGCCTAATTTGTTCAGCAGAGAGAAGGGTTTTCCCAGAATCAGCGTGATATTTATCAGTTTGTTATTTTTCTTTTTATTATTTTTTTTTGCGGAGGGAGACAGAGTCTCATTATGTTGCCCTCAGTAGCAGTGGCATCACAGCTAACAGCAACCTCAAACCCTTGGGCTTAAGTGATCCTTTTGCCTCAGCCTCCCAAGTAGCTAGGACTATAGGTGCCCACCACAACACCTGGCTATTTTTTGTTGCAGTTGTCATTGTTGTTTAGCTGGCCCGGGCCGGGTTCGAACCCACCAGCCCTGGTATATGTGGCTGGCAAGGTAACCACTATGCTATGGTTACCAAGTTAGATATTATTTTAATTGCAACATATATCTTCTAAATGTACATCTCTAGGCCTGAGCACTCTGAACTTCAGCTTCCTGAATCCACCTTCTTGCAAAATACCTCATCTTGACTGTCTCTAAGCACTTTATTTATTTATTTCTGAGACAGTCTTAATTTGTCACCCTCAGTAGAGTGTTATGGCGTCATAGCTTACAGCAACCTCAAACTCTGGGGCTCAAGTGATTGTCTTGCCTCTGCCTCCCGAATAGCTAGGACTACAGGCACCCACCACAACACCCAGCTATTTTTAGAGACAGGGTCTTGCTCTGGCTCAGGATGGTCTTGAATCTTTGAGCTCAGGCAATCCACCTGCCTCAGCCTCCCAGAGTGCTAGGATTACAGGCATGAGCCACCGCGCCTGGCCTCTCTTAAGCACTTTAAATGTAACTTCCCTACAATGTTACTCTTCTGTTATAAACTGTATCTGTCTCTTGGTAAGTGGTATCCATCCAGACACCTAAGGTAGAAACCTGGAAGTCAGCCTAGAAATACCCCATATCCAGTGAGTCACCAGGGCTGGCCAAGTTAGCCTGGCCTCCTAAGCATTTGTCACCGTGCGTCCCCTGATCCCTACTCAACTGCCCTTACGCAGGCCCATAGCAGCTCCGACTTAAGCATGACAGCTGTCTACTGACTGGTGTACACGCTTCTTTTTTCTCACCTTCATCCCTCTCCTAGATTTTCCAGAGTGATCTATCTAAAGCTCAGTCTGGACATGTCATCTGGTTAAATTTCACACTTTCCAGAATAAACATCAACTTTCTTGACAATGATAGGTTACGTCCATACCTACTTCCTTTGTTTTTTTTTTTTTTTTTTTTTTACAAAGTCTCACTTTATTGCCCCTGGTAGAGTGCTGTTCCAGCTCACAGCAACTTCAAACTCTTGGGCTCAAGTGATTCTCTTGCCTCAGCCTCCTGTGTAGCTGGGACTCCAGGCATCTACCACAACTCCTGGCTATTTTTTTTTTTTTTTTTTTAACTCCTGGCTATTTTTAAAGACAGGATCTTGCTCTAGCTCAGGCTGGTCTTGAACTTGTGAGCTCAGCCAGTCCACCTTCCAGAGTCCTACCTACTTTTGTGGCCCCATCTCTACCTGTGTTTTGATAGTATTTCATGCCTCGCTTTTCTTATGCCGTTTCCTTTGCCCAGAATTCCTTCATCCATCTTCACCAAGTAATACCTGCTCATCCTTCAAGATTCAGCCTAGGAGTCATCTCCTTCAGAAGTCCTTGAGTCCCTTAAACTGTGTCGAGTGCCCCTAATTTGTGTTCCCATGGCACCTTGTGTATCCCTCATCATAGTGAAATGACGTTTCTTTGTCAGGCTCACCCCATCAACCTGTAAACTCAGAGCAAGGACCCTTCTCCATGGTGACACCCAGTTAGCACAGTGACTAGTACAAAGGAGGCGCTCAGCGTTATGGCTGAGCCAAATCCAAGGAAATGTCATGTGAAGGAGGGTTTCCCTTTGGTCTCTGAAAGGCACATGTCTTTGCATTTGGAGCCCACTGCTATCGATTCTAAGGTAAAGAAGTGTGTGATAATAGGGTGGCCTGACTTTCCCAAGGCAAAGTGGAAACTTGCCAGGATGTTGAGTTTTAAACATCGTTCTGCTCTGTCCAGCCCTGGCAGAAAACACTGACAAAGGTTTGATTGACTTGGGGGTGGTCCAGGGTTAATTTTGGGACAGGGATGTTGTAAGACAATGCCCTAAACTTGTCATTTGTTGTGACTTCTATGGCTGTCTTACCTGGTCCCAAGTATCTAGGAGCATCACATCACCTGGATTCAGGTCGTCCTGGGTGAAGTCCGTGATCTCAGTGACAATGAACCGGCCAGTCTTATTGGAACATTCAAAGAGACGGGACTGGACATCTAGGATTTCCTGCTGTAGCCTGTAATACAGTCATTTAGAGGCACTGAGCTGCTCAGAAGTAGTTTTAAAACTGAAAGGGATCTCAGGCTTTGTGCAGTTTACAAGCCTGGGAGGCTGGAAAAGCCAAGAAAAGGGACCTGTTGTGTCCCCATACCTTTTATCATTGGCATAGGGAGTCTTCCCTCCCAGCAGGTTCCAGAACTCGGCTGGCTCCTGGCCCTCAGCCACAGTGTTCTCGGTGTGGTCACAGAGAAACCCAGCCAGCTCTTTAGCCATTTCCCGTTCGTCCCCACTACAGCCCTGAGAGTGAAGTGGGGAGAGCACAGGTGTGAGGGGTGCAGGGACCTGTTGCCATGGGAAAGGCTAACAGTGTGGCCAGGATTAGCTCCCAAGCCATGGTCCCTCAGGCTGGGGACATAGATAGGTCTGTTCTAGTGCTGGGAAGGCAGGGGAGGAAAACAGTGTGGTGGCAAAACTAGCTAAACCCAAAGAAATGTCACGTGAAGGAGGGTTTCCCTGAAGTTGGGAGTTTTAACGCCTACTTTTTAAGAGAAAATTTTTATTTTATTTTATGTTATTTTTTTGAGACGGAGCCTCAAGCTATCCCCCCTGGGTAGAGTGCCATGGCATCACGCTCACAGCAACCTCCAACTCCTGGGCTCAAGCGAGTCTCCTGCCTCTGCCTCCCAAGTAGCTGGGAC